AAGGGTCTAGACCCGAAACGTCAGCTTTCCTGCTCCTCTGATGCTGCTTGGCCTGCTGCGTTCATCCAGCTCTACACTTTGTTATCTCCTTTTGCTGAAATATTGTAATGTTTTTGTTTCAAAAACAATGTGACACTTAGGAAAAGGGACATTAAGTTTGTTGGTGATACCATTGCACATCTGTTAAAGCAGTTTCAACATGGCGCCTTAATGATGGCTCCAGAGAAGCAGCCTTGGCATTTTGTGCAGGACCCTTCAACGTGATGCTCCGAACATTTGCCTGGAATGCACAGTAGCAACAGTGGACAGAAAGATGTCACAAAGAGAAACAAGCATAGACACCAGAAAGAGTTTCATTCACATTAGACAAGATCTCTCACTTTGTAGTTTATGATGGCAGATTTAATTAGCTTTTATGTCATAGTTCAAGGTAAATCAAACACTTGATTCCTTTAGTGTCATAGAGTTTACAACAAAATCTACAGCTCACACTTTAGCCTATAGATTTCATGAAATAAACAATAAGATACTGTTTGACAAAGACTTTTCAACAAAAAAAAAGTTCATGATTCAAGAATTTGACAATGATAGATTGACAGACTTCCATTAATATGGCACTTTCCATGACCTCAGAACCAAGTAGCCTGATGACTAAACATTGACGGCAACAGAAGTTTGATAATCACAGCACTTTACAGCCAATGAGGTAGTCTTATCACTATTATACTATAGGAAACTCATCATCCAATCTGCAAGCTCACACAAGCATCTACACGATAATCTGTTTCTGTGATGTTGATAGAGAGATTAATGTCAGATACAGATAAATCCTGTCACTTTCTTTGATAAGATAGTGACATTGGATCTTTTCAATCGACCCAGAGAGCTAATGGGGCCATTTCCATATTTCATCTGGAAGACTGTACCTTCAACATTGCAATATTCCCTCTTTAGCACTTGAATGGTCTTCTAATTCAGAGGCAAGAATGGTACTAAGTGAGCCAAGAAACTGTGAACAAGATTATTCAAGAAAGGTAAAGCAAAAGATGAAATTATTAGAACTATGCAATGGGATAATAATATTTGAAAAGATTATGTACCGATCTGGATTTTTTTTTCTGCCTGCCATTTTTTGGGGGAGGTGTTTTAGCCCATTTACATTAAAATGGTTAATGGCTGTTCTGAAATAACAGGAAGAATTTTAGTCAAAAGCCTCAGGCTTCACATGCTGTTAACCCACAATAAAACCCAAGGCCCTGTGGCTATAAACATGATTGTTACTGGATTGTTTGTGCTAAAATAGTTTAAGTAAGGACAGATGTTCTTTGGTGACCTATCCCAGGTGTTGGGCACATGGTATTTGGAATTTTAGCATCACAAATAGGCTGGTTTAGGTCAAACGGTAGGTTAAAATGGCATAGAATAAAGCCTGAAAGTTGACCAACCAAATCAAATCAAAGTACGCTCATGTCAGTGCACAATGAGACATAGCCTCACACTTCCTGAAAGAAAGAAAGAAATTGGAAGCTGAGTTACTTCAATCCAAACTTGCCACATACTTGCACATGGTTGCAGAGTAATGTTGGGAGGCTGTTTGGTGTGAGGTATCCGGGGATGTGAAGAAGGAAAAATCCCTTAAATAAAACTATTGCTACCTATTGCTGGAAGCTAAACATGGTGCGAACTTAAACCAATTCTGATACATACAAAGTAGAATTCAGATACCTTCCCTCGGGAGCAAGCAAGATCAGGATATTACAGGGAATAAAATTTTAACCTCATGATGAAATCCCTTGCATAAATTTACACAGAGCATTGCCATGATTTGATTTATAAACTTTTATGTGAGGGCAAAAGGTTTCAAGGAGGAACTTTCTCAAGTGCATTAACTGGTATCAACAAAATATTCATACCATCCCTACAGTGTGGAAACAGGCCATTTGGCCCAACAAGTCCACAGCATCCCCCTGAAGAGCACTGCACCCAGACCCATTTCTCTACCTTGACCCCCACATTTCCCATGTCTAACCCACCTGACCTAAACACTCCTGGGCACTATGGGCAATTTTGCATGGCCAATATGCCTACTATGCACATCTTTGGACTGTGGGAGGAAACCCACGCAGACATGGGGAGAATGCACAAACTCCACACAGACAGTTGCCTGAGGGTGGAATTGAACCTGGGTCCCTGGTGCTGTGAGGCAGCAGTGCTAACCACTGAGCCACCAGGCCACCCCGACATAACTCTAGTTTATAAAAAAAAGCAAAATACATGAGTTCTGTAACTCTCCACTGTAACTAATGCAGAGCAATCAACAGGATAAATTCTTTAGAAAAAGCAAAAAACTTTTATGTTTTGCTGGGATTTATGCCACGGAATTTCAGGGAATCACCATTAAATGCTTGGTCATCGTGGAACACAATTATTACAGTGCAGCAGAAATGTGTATGGCAGAAAATGCCAGGAGCATATTCTGTACTAGATGACAATAATTCAGCAGTGGGATCAATCAGACAGATGACATTAATAAGAGCAGACAGAAATATTGCTTTTCAAGTGTTCTCTAAATCAAATAATCAACTTTCTGGCCGTGGGTAGAATTTTTGACCATATAATATTTGTAATTGTCACCTGTCCCTGTTGGAATTTTGCACAAAATTATAAGTAGGTTTTTATTGATGTTCCGAAATGTGACTAGTATGACCCTACTAGTGACCCAAGTCTGATACAAAAACAGACTCAATATCAAATAGATTATCTGCAAACAATAACTGAGTTTCATTCCTCGTGGTTATTATTAATGGGCTGGTCCTGGGCCAAACTTCAAATGGTGTAGTGATCTCAAAATGATCACCTCACAAACACAATTATACTATACACATATTATACTCCAGGCCAAAACCAATATATCATTCTCCAAATTAAACACTTACATGCCTCACTGTTACTTAATTTATGGAGCCCAAAAAAAATGTCATTTTCTTCAATACAGAAGTGTGTGCTAATATTGTAAATGATGGTCCCTCGGTGTGATAAAGGGTGTTATATTATCATTTGGGAATAAAAGTAAAATATATTATGGTTTTAATTCTGTGAAAGTGACTTTTTTTGTTCCAAATGAGGTTCTGACTTCTTAATGAACTAAAGACAATTTCCAAGAGAGCATCTCATTTAAGTTAATTGCCTCAATCCAATGCATAGGGAGCTAAGTGCTGAATATTTACAATACTTAGTTTGGGACAGGGGGAGGGACTCTTGTGGTACAGTGGCAGTACCCTTACCTCTAGGCCAGAAGGTCCAGGTTCAAGTCCTACCTGCCCTGAAGGAAGGTCACAGCATGTCTGAGCAGGTAAATTAAAATAACTGCAACATTGAGACTTAGATATTTTTTACTCAACACATTCAGCGATGTTATTAGACACCTCTGGACCAAGGTGGGACTTGTTTCTGGGCTTCCTGGCTCAGAGCTAGGGGCTCCACTGCATCACAAGTTGTGTTTTATGACGTACACAGAAACAGATGATTAAAGATCAGAATCAGGATTCAGTCCAAAAGAATTGTTTCAAATCAACAGAAGGGCAGGTTAGATTGCAGGAACCTCCAGGCTGAGAAACCTTTACACAGTCCTGCTAACTGAAGGGAAATGCACACTGTTAGGACTGGAAAGAATTCTCCAGACCGTTGGAGCTGGAAAAAGTCAGCTGAGAAAGAAATCTTAAAGTTAATATCGGATTGATACTTCACTGTGTTTGAGTATCCATAAAGGATACCACTGGGAAAAGGGTTAATTTCTTTTACTTAAAAGAACAGTGGTAGCCTCATGTGAAAACGTTCAGTGACTGACCAACATGGTGATGAGATTGGAAACCAAAAAAATTATGACCCATCAAGTGAGGGGCATGGATAGGGTGAATAGTCAAGATCTTTTGCCCAGAGTTGGGAATGTCCAAATCCAGAGGGCATAGGTTTAAGGTGCGAGGGGAAAGATTTAAAAGGTACCTAATGGGAAACTTTTTCTACACAGAGGATGGTGCGTGTATGGAATGAACTAACAGAGGAAGTAGTGGAGGCTCGTACTGGTAAAAGGCATCCAGATGAATATATGAGTAGGAAGGGTTTGGAGGGATATGGGCCAAATTCTGCCAAATGGGATTAGACTAATCTAGCACAACTGGTCATCATGGACGAGTTCGACTGAAGGGTTTCTGGTGCTGTACATCTCTATGACTATAAGAGACGCTTTGCTCAGAAATGTGACATGTCCACTGATAAAAATTCAGATCAGCTTAGATCATAACACAGGACATATTTCAGCATTAATAGAGGGGACCTGATGCTCATTGAAGCACATGTTTAAAGGCTGATTTTCCTGAGTAAGAAGAATTAATAAAGACAGAGAGCAGAGTGGAATTTCTACTGAAACAATAAACGTAAATGAACAGTTCTGGTTGACAGACCGACTCCTGTTTCTATAAATGGATGACTAACAAATACAACAGAAAAGATTGTATAAGTGGTATGCACAATGTCAATGAATGCAGTAGAAGCGGCAGAGAGAGAACTAGACATTCACTTCACTAGATGAGATCACACAACCCAGATGAGATCAGAACATCATTTCTCATTTACAATAACATTTATTAATGCTGTCATGGTGAAAGGTAAATCAATCACTTTGGTTCATAATAAAAGTAGAATTACAGAAAGGTTACAACACGAAATGAGGTCATTTAGCTTGCTAGGTCCATGCCAACATACTGAACAACATACTAGTCATATACCGAGAACAATAAATGCTGGAGATCACAGCTGAAGTGAAGCTCTGATGAAGAGCTATCTAGACTTGAAACATTAGCTTGCTCTCTCTCCATGGATGCTGCTTGACCCACTGTGATCTCCAGCATTTGTTGCTTTCAGCACAGATTCCAGCATCTGCAGTAATTTGCTCCTGTATATAGTCATGTATATCTGTACAGTGAAATAATAATGGAAGGTCGAAGTGAGAGGAACATAGCATCCCTTTTGATTTTTCAATTAAAATCCTGAAGTCATAATAGTTGTAATGCCCCTTGAGCCTTTCCTGATATTAAATTAGATCATGGACCTGAACTCTGTCTGTCTTGCTTGCTTTCATAAACCTAAATACCCTTGACAAACCAAGGTTTCAATTTTGAAATGCTCAGTTCACCCTGTCTTTTGGAAAGGATGGGAACTTATAAGTTTCAGATTTCCAATACCCCTCCTGTGAGGAAGTCCTGAATGGCCAACTCCAATTTGAAGCTTAAGCCCTGTTGTCTTGGCATGCCTTGGCTGAAGGAAATGGCATTGCCCTTTCTAACCGATCAAACCCTTTAATTACCTTAAAATAAGTTGACGTGTGGATCTTCTAATCTTCAATAATCACAATAAAATATTGAATATATATCTTGTCAAAATAATATATCTCTCCATTTTCATATGGGCAATTTCAACAAATAACATTATTGCTGCATCAAGAAATACATGGGCAGAGCTACAACTGCAATCATTTCACTAAAAACAAGAAAACAAAATAAAATTTGACACCATGTTTCATGAAATGACACAATTTGAAGGTAGCCAGACACACCTCCTGTTCTTTAAAATTGTTCAATATTATTATCGGAATAGTGTTGCAATTTTCAGCTTATATAAATAAATATTGTGAACAATATCCTACACATTTCTCCACTTTCCTAGTAATATGCTTCTCATTTTCCAGATACATGGATCGGGAATGTCAAAATTGTAAGTAATGCTCTACCATAAATGAATAGCTGGTGTAAAAACCTTGTCCAACAAGGGAAGCTAACAAAGGAAAGTATCCATTCCTGTGCACCAAGGTCCATTGGACAAAACAGCTTGAAAGCTAACCTTTAATAGTCTACAACAACTCCTGAAAGCAGTCTGAAGACTGCAAAAGGAGGTCAGTTCTTGACGGATTAATTCCAGCAAAAGACGAATGCAAGTTTAGAAACCAGAATTAACCTTAAAAAAAAAGTACATCGTTTTTGGCTGGGTGGTGGGCGAGATGGGATATAATTATTGAGTAATCATTTTTTAGGTGCGAGGAACAAGAACAACAGAAAAGAAAAAACAATGCACGTTTTCTAAACCTGCATTGGTTCATTAAGTCATTATAATACGAGACTGTTCAAATAATTACAGGTTCGAGCAATGTCATTTACTATTTCCATCTCAAAAAGTCGCGAACATTATGTACAATTCATATTCAAATTAATCAAGTTTAGAATAAATGTAGACGTTAGTTAGAGTGTAACCCACACAATAGAATTACTCACCTTGAAGCTGCTATGTCTACTTTTGTCCTGGCGATTGCTGCTGCTCGATGTGCTCCTTCTGTTGCTCTCCCCACTTTTTCTTGAATTTTGCTGGTTCTGATGGGTATAAGGTGCTTTTTCTTTCCTCGGATCAAAATGTTATTTTTATATTTTCCTTCTTCCTTTGTGCCATCTGGAAAGGTGGTACATCCATAACCATTCCTTTGATTATTCAACCACTCCCCCTCGTATTTCATACCATTTGAGCGCTCACTTACACCAAACCCACTGCGTTTATCATTTTTCCATTCCCCCATGTAGGATTCCGTTGTGGTAGCATCAACATGGTCTTCCACTGGTAAATATTCAGAATCACCTTCCCCAAAACTGATTGTCGAATTGGCATCACTATTTGCTGAACTTATTCTACTCATTGATGCCTCACTCCGAGCAGAGCTACGTTTGCTAGCCAGAGATGACTTGGACTCGGATCTTTTGAGCTTCAGATTTCCCAGAAGCGATCCTCTTCTGAAAAAGCCTTTTTTCTTTCCAGTCATTAATTCTGTGTCACTGTGAAACGTGAGGACGAAACCACCTCTTGTGCCAGCTGGACTATCTGCAGATATATCATGTAGAATTGTGCCATTGCTCTGTTCACTCCGGAGCGATGCTAGGGAAGTGCGGAGAGGTGAGCGGATGACTGTGGCCATACCAAATGGTACACTCTGGCGTACACCATATCCATGACGCATTCCTCCAGCCCACTGTCCCTGGTACGTTCCTTCAGAACATGGATTGAAAATGAATTACAATGCGCATTAACTTAAACTCAAGCTTTATGTACCTAACAGATATACTTAACAGACATATTGGGCCTACTTCTGATATTCGTTACTGTCCCTTCAAAGAAAAAATACTCATTTGCACATTTACAGTTTTTCAACAATTTGTGAGTAAATCATTCTAATTTGAAACTTGCAATGAAGTATCAACTTTTAGTGAGTTTTTTTGATGGAATGGTTATGCACACTACATGGACAATTAGTGTTCTCAACCTGAATACATTTTGCTTGTAAAGCCAAATATATATAAACTAAACAACTGAGTCTTTGAATATTCAATCTCAAAATTAGCATTAAATATTTGGCACATACCAAATTATAACTCCTTATTCATATTACAATAATTGTACGTTAAAGATGATCCAGATTTATGGCAAACAAATTTAATTAAAAGTCGTAATCTTGCTTTTGGCATAAAGTCAATCAGAATTGCTTATTGAAAACAGATACCAACAAAATAATCTTACATGACAATACAAGAAAAAGTTCAATATAACATACATGCATAGATAAGTAATTATATTAAACAAGAAATGAACATTGTGATATAGGTCAGTGATTTTGAGTGATACTCTTGCTCAGTACTGAAGTTGATCTGCTAAATCTACAGAACAACCCATTTTATCAATTTTTGTCTTTTGGAAATAGAAATCTTGATCACATTCCTAGTAGTGTGCCAAACACAACGTAGTGTCTGTCTCAGTGGCAGAAAGCAGATTGTTGCTATGAGTGGACAAAGGATGCAGAAAGGCATTATGCAATTGCTGCTAGTGAGAGGAATTAAAGAGTCAGTAAAAATGCTCAGTTGGAGTTCTATATTCCCAGCAACCTCAACTGTGCAGACTTTGTGCAGCTAAGCTATCATTTTAGCTTCTTCTGTGTAATGAGCTGTTCCAGTGGCTCAGGCATATTCGTATCTTGCAAAATTTCAGCATATATCAAAGGTAAAAGTTCAAAATTTAAATATTGTCAAGACTGTGCCTTTGGTTTTCACAGACACTATGTAAAGATTTGTGGCATTTTGAAGATTAGGAAATCAAAGTTTATTTGAAGCCTTGAGTATGTATAGACTTATCCTCATTGATTATAATGTATAACTGCAGAATATCCTAAGATAAAATTAACTAAGACACTGGAGTTGAATGAAACTAGAAAACTGCAGAAAATATAATGTTATGCATTATAACTCCACTGTTTGAAAGCAAAATTAGCTTTTTCACTTCTGAAATTTTTGGAACATCTGTGAATGGCGTTTACCTTAGTAAAAATATTTGGCAAACTTTTTTTAAAGCATTAGGACAAAATAGTTAGTAATATCAAATTAGAATATAAAAAGAGACTGCCCACAGTTACTAATTCTTGAGCATCACACAGTGTCCAACCTGGGCTGGTGATTTGCAGCAAGCCAGTTAATTAGATCAAAAGCATTCAATATAAAGCAATACTTTGGCTAGAACAGAATGGAATGGAGACAATATCCAGTAAAACATATTGTTGAATGCTTGGTAACTAAATATTATCTGAATAGCTGTCACTCAACTGTGAAATAACTCTGCTGAGCTTACATTTTCACCAAAACAACATTTTGGAAACATATCAAAGTTGTCATCACTGTACTTCTATTTTTTAAAAAGTATTATACAATCAAAACTGTCTTCCAGGGAGAATTATGATTTGCCAAGTTGTGCAAGTAGCTCAGTATCTTTGGTCACTCCTATTCTTGTTTTCATCAGGCTGTAAAATGATCCCTAACATTGGATCGGTCACACAAATATCACTAACAAGGATTTACTGCAGTTAGCTGGACAAGTTTTAGTTCATCACTTTATTCATACACTTGGCTAGTTTTGTTACTTAATTAAAAAAAAACACATCTTGCAAAAAAAGGTGCAATTCTGGTTATGAAACACCTCCTTCAGCAACTTTTTACATGGTGTTAGACTAATCCTTTAAGTTAAACAATAAAATTAGTATTGATTAGTATCATTTCATAATGTAGAATGCTCTGCTGCTCTACCAAACTCTGTAATCCTAATATGCAATGTTCAGATCTAAAGAAGAACACAGTGGAAGCTGATAACTTCTCCCCGCATTGAAGGGCATGCATCTATTTGCAGCTCTACCTTATAAGGATCTTTGTCAACCCTTTCACAGCCTTTGATTTTCCACACTGACCAATAGTCAGTCATGGTAAAAAGGAAACTTCCTCCAAATAATGCAAAGTCATTGCTTACAATCCCACCACCAACTCAGTCTGCTAGTCACCAGCTGTCTCTCTCCCCCTGACCAATGAGTGAGACTGAATCAGATAATGGTGTACCCTTCCAGGTCCAGAAAATTTTCCATCTCAGTTCCAGTCTCAGCTTACGCTCTGCTGACACCCTCATCCATTCCTTTGCTACCAACTAGATTAATTATTCCTCGTCCTCCTGACTCCCGTCCCACTTTTCACCCTCTATAAATGTGAGCTCATCCAAAACTTTGTTGCCTGCGTCCCTAATTTCACAAAGACACATTTTGGTCCACCCTGGTTTTAGGTTGAAAAACATTTTGATTAAAATGTTCATCTTCATTTTGAAATCCCTCCATAGTATTTTCCCTCTTATTTCCGTGAGCCCTACAACTCTCCAGCAGCCATGATAGAATGACAGAGCAGACTTGATGGGCTAAATGGCCTAATTCTGCACCAATGGGATCAGTGACCATTTCTCAGACTACAGACAATCCTCAAAGACAAGTAGCATGAGGGGAGATGGGCAACATTGGGCCAGGATGAAATAACTTGTAGGGGATGCAGGAGAAGATCAATGATCTATCAATCCCATTCAATCACCATGCTCAATCATGCATTCTAATAACTTGAAATCCCACACATCCGGTTTCTTCTTGAAATCAATCAGTTGCTTTTCCACCAACCATGCTAATAAGATGTTTCATAAATTAAATACCCTTTCAGGAAAAAAAATCATCTGTTTATCCTTCTTGTATGTATTTCATACACGTGACCCCTCATACTTCAGTTCAGCACAAAAGCTTGCTGGCATTGAATTTGTCCAAATCTGCCATGATTCAATCATTAATTAGAAAGGACTTTGCTCCAACTGACAACAGCACAAACCTATAATTATTTGGCTGTGATAGAGACAGGTGACTCAAAGTGAAGGTGAAGGGTCAGCAGCCTGAACAATTAACTGTTTCTGATGCCAAAGATGCTGTCTGATTCTGCTGAGCATTTCTATCACATTCTGTTTTTATAATTGATGTTTGGGTACAGTTAGAATAGCCTTAAGCTGTTATTCCCACAAAAGTGTTGACCAGGGCGCATGCACAACTGTGTGGCAAGTGGTGTGATTCGTTTGCACAGTCTTCTCATGTTTGTGACATAGTTAATGATGTGTAGAGTCACAGAAAATCAATGAAGACTTGACATCAGGTTACTCTTGTATACACTAGACAGTCAGTTACAAAGCTGCATTGACAATGGTCTGATAGCTGGAATCCATCAATGTCCTGTCAACTGAAGAATGTCATCCAACATTTAGTGGATAGAAGAGGAATGAATTAACGCTGTGGATGAGTCAAAGTACAACTTGGGTATTCACATGAATTCAAAAGAAACAAAAATAAGTTTGGTTATTTGGTGGTGGCATTCTCCTTACTGAATTAGTTTAGAATATGGGTCGATTGTGAGTTCAAATGCCACTCTTGAGCACATTATCTGGCCCTATCCTTCTGGGTAATACTGAGGAGATGCAACACTGTCAGGTATATCATCTTTCGCATGAGCCACTAAATCGAGGCCTGTCTGCTCTCTCTGTCTCTCCAGGGAATGTGAAATATCTCAAGGCACTATTCAAATCTGTTTTACAGGTTGTCTTGGCCAATACCTATTCCTCAAACAACATCACTAAAATAAATGCTCCAGCCATTGTCCCATTGCTGTTTGTGCGATTTTGAGCACAAGTTGGCTGCAATGTTTCCCTAAACTGAACAACTATACTTCAAAGACTTCCATTTGGCCATTATTGGGGATATTTGGGAGGCCACAAAAGGTGCAACATAAGTACAAGTCTTTTTTATAAAAACCTCTATATGACATTCGGATATCCTGCTTCCTCTCTTTGAAGTTGTGATTAGAACATTTCACCAGGTTTAGGAATGGGCAACAAATACTCAATGGCATTGGATGTTATCAACAAGCCACATGCTCAGCTCCATATGTCCCCTTCAGTATAAAAACTATTTTCCTGTTTACTCAATGGGACTGTTTTAGAGATGCCAGCTGAACGTCACTGGGACTTGTTATGTGAGGTCCAAATCCTTCGCTGGCAGAATAATAAACGCGCCTTGCCAGATGTAGTAAAGGATAAACAGTAGCCTTAGATTGCTATCTGATTAATGCAAGCATATGGGTGCAGATTTTGTATGAATCAGTCTGCTTATGAAAGCTGCCTTTTCATTATGAATACAGAATGGAAAGAGGACCTAATTATTGCATTTGCCATTAAGGTATTTGTTGTCTCCTATCAGGAGGCAAGAAATAGGAGCAGGAATAGGCTATCTGGCCCCTCAAGCCTGCTCTGCCATTCAATAAGATGATTGCTGATCTTTTCATGGACTCAGCTCCACTTATCTGCCTGCTCAACATAACCCTTAATTCCTTTACTGTTCAAAAATCTTTGTATCTTTGCCTTAAAAACATTCAATGAGGTAGCCTCAAATGCTTCACCGGGCAGGGGATTCCACAGATTCGCAACCTTTTGGGTTAAGAAGTTCCTCCTCAACTCAGTCCCAAATCTGCCCTCCCTTACTTGGAGGCTATGCCCCCCAGTTCTAGTTTCACCGGCCAGTGGAAAACAACCTCCCTGCTTCTATTTTATCTATTCCCTTCATCATTTTATGTTTCTATAAGATACCCCTTCATTTTTCTAGATTCCAA